TTTTTTTTTTTGTTTTTTTTTCCTTTTTGTTTTTTTTTTTTTTACATTTTATTTTAAAATTTAAAAGAATTTAATTTTTTTTTTTTTTTTTTCTATTAAATAGATGAAACCAACGATTAAAATTAAAGCCCGCAAAGTAATTTTAGTGAAAGAAGGTGTGTGTTTTTCTGGTGGGGAAGAGAACAGGTGAACGAGGGTAAAATAGATTCAGATAGAGAATTTAAGGCAATGTGGGGGGGGGGGAATAATAACAGAGATAAGGAGGTGTCAAACTTATTTCTCGGTTAGTGACTGGAACATCTGGGTACCACAGTTTATGTTTCGAAAACCTGGACAGTCCGATGCTGAGTAAGTGAGTGTCCCCATAAGTTAAGGCATTGGTCTAAAATAAAAACCTTTGGGAATGTCCGGGGAATTTTCATAATGCAAACAAGATGCTTTCAAAAAGTCCACACAGTGGGGCTCATGTCCACAAACCTTAATAATGTAAACGAATTTGTTTTCAAAGTCCACAAACTAAGGTAATGTCCAAGAAATAAGGTAATGTTCACATAATAAGGTAATGTCCACAAAATAAGGTAATGTTCACAAAATAAGGTAATATCCACGAAATAAGGTAATGTTCACAAACTGAGGAAATGCCCACAAAATAAGGTTACATCCGTTAAATAAGGTAATGAGGACGAAATAAGGTAATGTGCACAAAATAAGGTAACATCCGCAAAATAAGGTAATGAGGACGAAATAAGGTAATGTCCACAAAATACGGTAAAATCCGCAAAATAAGATAATGAGGACGAAATAAGGTAATGTGCACAAAATAGGTAACATCCGCAAAATAAGGTAATCAGGACGAAATAAGGTAATGTGCACAAAATAAGGTAAAATCCGCAAAATAAGGTAATGTGCACAAAATAAGGTAACATCCTCAAAATAAGGTAATGAGGACGAAATAAGGTAATACCCACAAAATAAGCTAATGTCCACACGAAAAATGTCCATATTTTCGTTCACGTTCGCAAACTTTGCCAGTGTCCACGTGACCAACAATAAAAAGCCTTTGGCTCCGAAGCGCCACAGACATTAAAACAGAACATGACGTCAGTGATGTCCACAGCATATCCTCTAAACCAGTGCTCGGCAACTTAATCTCCCCTTCAACACAAACCACGCATTTCCCAAAGTTAGGGTGGTGAGCAACAAACTACAACAGCATGCAAACAAAACAAACAAACAAAAAAATTTACTAAATAACATGAATAATCATAATAGCTTGCAATTGAGTTGTATATCTCTATTATATATTGACTGAATGTTTCTGAAACATTTATGTTAGTGCATGGCGTGACAGCTTGGTAATTAACTAACCGTGGCTCCAACAGTGGCTTG